GCCCTTCTCTCCAAAACACTATTGGGTCCCTTTCCATTTACCTCCAGACCTAACCTCCCCCCCCCTCTTTTTCCTTATGCCCCAAATCTCCCAGACCCTGTGACAAACTCAATAAAATAGCAGATATTTGGAAAGTGTATTTTCTAGCGGGGACTCCAGGTTATACCCTGTTGCAAACAAATTTTGTTGGGCTCATGCAATGTTCCAAAGACATTTTGAAATTGGGACATTTTATTTAAAAAAAGGTCGAATATTTTATTTCCTTTGAAAAATTAGAGGATCTGACTGCATTGGGTTCACAAGTACCAGAAGCAGGAAATTTCAAGGGTATTGGCAATCCCAGATTTTCCACCTTTTTAATCACCTCCTCCTACAGACAAGTGTTTGAGTCTGCACCTTTTGATATATAGCTTTTTATTTATCCTCTAATATGTTTGATATATATCAGTTTATTTTCTATTAAGGAAAAAATCAATTCTAAACTTCTTGTTTTAGGGACAATCTAGAGGTAACAATATGTCTTCGGGGAATGATGTGAAAAGTGTTCTGGAGAAGATCTCGTTCTTTCTCCCTTCTTGATAAAGTGAGGGCGGTATTTAGAGACCTTGATGACCTTCGTAGACTCAGAAATGGGTCAAATGTCAGCAGAGGGTTTTTAGGTTGATGGGCACAACATGACTCATTGAGACTTATTAGAGCTGCTGCCCTTTGGCTGAATTTTGGGCAGGGTGTGGGGTGGGCAGGAAAAGTCAACAGTGAAGGCATTGGAATTCCACATCCAGCCCTGTCAGTCTCTTAATGGGTCACTTGTACCTCCAGGACTCAGTTTTCCCATTTGTATAGTGACTATGTTGTCATAGGCCAGCCTTTTTCAAGGTGTGCTCCACCAGTCTTGCCAAATGTTAATTAATACACACACACACACACACACAAACAGATATGCACATACATATAAAACAAATATAAGATAAAGATGGTATATTGGAAAACATTGGGATATGTCATATAAATCAGTTTTCTTTATTGTGGGACTTCTCAGAGATTTTGGTATGCTAATGGATATTGTGAATTTTCAAGAAGAAAATATAAAAAGCAATATTTTCCAAATATGTCTATCAAATTCTACTTTTTTAAAAAAAAAATAAAGAGCATCTCAAGAGACATCTCCGTGATATAAACTTTTTTTTTCTCCCAGTGCTGGGAATCCAACCTAGGGTCTTGCATACATTAGGTAAGCAAGCACTCTGCCACTGAGGTACACCCCCAGCACTCTGCAGGGAAATCTTTAGCAATGTACAGTGAGGCATTTGTTTAGATATTTTTCTGTCCTGACATCAAAAATGTAGTCACACACCAATCAAAAAGGGATCAAGAGACATACCCTTATTTCTATTTGAATATGAACAGCAGCCCTCCTTGGAATTCAGGGGATATCTCTGATGATATAGGAAAAACCCTCAGTGGTGTGATCCAGGTGAAGGTGGTGTGATCCAGGTGAAGGTGGTGTGATCCAGGTGAAGGTGGTGTGATCCAGGTGAAGGTGGTGTGATCCAGGTGAAGGTGGTGTGTGTGTGTGTGTGTGTGTGCACTCTCTGTGGGTTGGCAGAAGTGCCATGGGGGCTTCCTCTAGAGGAAGGAGCATCAAAGATCCTCACATAGTCTCTGAACTATACTTTTATCTGTTGTTTTAGCCTGAGAAGAGTCACCACCCCACACACATGCTGGTTGATTTTTTATCAGAAATCTCAGGACAGTTTCCACCCTCCACCTGCTCAGCGTTTCTGTGACAATGGGAGGTACGTGCCTTATGATACGCAGGAGCCCAGGTGACACAGCTGCTTCCAGTACGCCCCAAATGTCGAGCTCCATGCAGAATTGAACTCAGGGCCTTGTGCATGCAAGGCCAGCACTCTACCAACTGAGCTATATCCCCAGCTGCCCTGGGTGCAAACCTTCAAGTCCTGATGCCTGGGGGCACTGACCAATAATTGCCTTCAGTCTGGCATTATAGGGCCAGGTCTCGGGGTAACTTGGGCATTACCCCAGCTCAGATAGCAAGGCATGGCTCCAGGTATAGGCGTCACCCATGGGGGTTGAGCTACACTCACTTATTCCTTTGTAATCCTACCCCTTTGCCCTGTTTGGGATAGAATGTTCCATGGACACTCCCTTTGTGTGTCCCCTTCTCTTGCTCTGCCTTTGATTCCCACTCAGCACATGAAATGGGCATGGCCTTCCCAGATGTCAGTCTGCTGAAGCTAGACTCAACCCTTTGCCTCATTTGAATGGCTTCTCCCCAACAAAAGGGTTCAGCACATGCTCCTCTCTCTCGTTCTCTCTCTCTCTCTCCATGGACCCCTAAGGGTCAGAGGAGCCATCACAGGACCCAAAGAAAAACGTATTTCTCTGTCTCTGTGTGATGATTTCGTGCAGCCCAGTTCACCTGGAGTGACCCTGAGTGTTCAGTCATGGGAGGAGACACCCAGAGCCTCTCTGGTTAGACTTCTTCTAAGGAACATTGTCCTGTAGAGTTGCCTGCACTAGAGTGACAGGGACCTTGTGTTGCAGGGAGCAGATGCTGCCTCAGGAGACATGGAAGAGCCACACCAGTCCTGTTCTTCTTCCTGTTCCTCGGGAGGCTTCCTTCTTAACCCTGCAACACTCCTGTTCTGGTGCAGTATCTAAGCTCTGCTGCTTCTGACCTTGAGTCCTGTCTTCTTGGAATGACCTCACCTCCAATCTCCATCTGTTAAATCACACTCACCGACGAGGCACGGAGGCCATCTCCTTTACAAAGCCTTCCCCCTTTCCACAGCTGTAAATAAACTCTCCCTCCTTCCCATTTCCCTAGCACAGGTGAGCCTTCTTCATAACCATCCATGTTCTTCCTTGTTTCACTCGGATCTTAGCTCTCCCCCACTGGGTCCTGAGCTCTCAACTCCCTTACCTCTGTAACCCCCACTTACCTACCCCTGTGCCAATGCCTAAATGATTGGGAGTGACTTTCCTCCACACTGCGCCGAATCCCCTCTTGCCAGTGGGCTTTTCTGTGCCTTGGAACTTGCTTCCCTCATTTGAGTGTGTGTCAAAATCACCAGGGAAGCTTATTAGAAAGACTAATACCACTAGATAAAAGAGAGAATTGAGTAGAATAAAAATACCAACGCTATGAGAATGGGAAAACAAAAGGCAATGAGAAACCCCAGGAAAAGCCAAAGTCAACAATTAACGTAATCAAAACTCCATCCAGGATTTGTAGAGTGAACAATATATATATCTATACAGCCACAAATGAATTATTGCTTTACCAATTTAAATAGAAAAGTAATTTGATTTTATGAAGGAAGATGGTAGAGGCATGTGGGATGTTGTGGTATGAGAGAATTAAGGTTTTTTTTTTTATTATAACAGAAAGTCAGTAAATAATGTCTAAAATGAAACAATCACGTTAAAAGTGGCTTCTTCTGAAGGGTAGGACTAAGTAATGAGGAAGGATCAGGGACTGATGGTTTTTCTTATAAGCCTTTCAAAACGAATTGATCTCTTATCTATGAGAAAATGTCATTTTGGTTAAATTTTTTTTTTTTTTAAAATGAAGAATGCATGTTTCTAGACCTACCCTAAACCTACGGAATTAGAACCTCCAGGGCTTGGTACCTGGGTGATTCTGGTTCACGCCAACATTTGATAACGGGTGTGGCCTTTTACATATAGCTATGGAAATAGAAGTAGGCAGTCCTCAGATGGGGACTTGGAAAAGGGAGTAGAAGCTTCTAAGTAATTTGTCTATGGATTTGGTGTCTATTGTTGCCAACCTCAAAAATATGGGACTGTCTTGGGAATCCTTGAGGATTAGGATCACAGACCTCCTGCATTTGACCATAAAGGTAGTGCTGTCCTTCTACAAGACCTTTATGGTAAGGTGCCCCTGGGGGTTCAATCCACAGTACCAAAAAAACACAAAAACAAAAAACAAAAAACAAAACAACAACAAAATCCCAAAACTTTTAAATCTCTAAAATTAACAAAACAAAACAAAACAAAAAACTGCCCCAGACTTTTACCATCATTGGAGCATCATGGGAATTGATCACTGAGCTAAGAACTTTATGGCCTTATAGAAAGATAGCCCTTCCCATAAAGAGAGGAGTTGGGAGCCCCTCCCCCCCCAGTAATCTTAATAGTCGAGGGAGTAGTCTTAACAGCTGTGCAAGTTGAAACTCTCTGAGCCTTGGTTTCCTTGTTTATGAGCTGAGGAATAATATATGCCTTGCAGGGTTATTTCAAGGAGTACCTGAGATAAGCATCTAATTTGTTAAGGATCATGCTTTGGTAGATGATGTGGGAGATGCTCCCATGATTGTAAAAGTCTATTTTGTTTTTTAATAGTACTCGGGACTGAATCCCAGTCACTTTACCCCTGAGCTACATCCCCAGTCCTTTTTGCTTTTTATTTTGAGACAGCATCTAGCTAAGTTGCTGAGAGTCTCACTCAGTTTCTCAGGTTGGCCTTGAAATTGAGATCCTCCTGCCTCAGCCTCCAAAGTCACTGGGGTTATAGGCACACACCACTGCGCCTGGATGTATAAGTCTGTTTGTGGAGAGAACCTTCTGTTCCAAGACCCCTTAAAAGTACAGGAGAAATATCAGGGATGTAGTTTAGGGATGGGTGGGTCCAACTTTGATCCTCTAGGGTTTGGGTGACAATAACAAAGGGTAAAAGCTAATGTTCAATAATCACTTAAAAGGTGTCAGGCTCTGTTGCAAGAACTATATATGAATCTCGTCATTCAACCTTTTCAATAATTCTTCTGAGATAAGTACTGCCACCATTTCCATGTTATAGATGGGAAACCCGAGGGTCAGAGGACATTGTTTAAGAAAGCATTGACAATCTATGGCACAGCCAAGATGCAAACCCAGGTGACTTGGCTCCAGTGCACCCCCTTGTGGCCACCATCCTGCACCTGTGCCCCTGGGACCCTGCGGACCGAGCTCACCTGTGCTGTTGAGGTTCTCCTCACAGGATTCCCAGAGCCCCACGTGGAGCCGGCGCTGGATGAATTTATCGTCCCCTATTTCCCAAATGTACAGGACCACCTGGCTCTCGTCCTTGGTGCCATAGCTGCTGTTGGGCCGTCTGAAGTGAATGCAATTCTTCCCGTGCAGCTGGTCGAGGCACAGCGGCTTCGTGACCTTCCGTGCCCCTTCACACCAGTAGCTGCTGCTCACGGCGGTGAGGGAGAGGGCGAAGGCCAGGCAGATGGGGAGGAGGGTCAGAGCCTGCTGCCGCCTGGCCCTGTCCATGACTGAATGAGGTGCTCGGCTGCAGGCTGAGCCGTGGGGCCAGCTCCTCCCCTCTTCATCATGGTCCCCACTCCTCAGCCCTGCCATCTGGCGTCCTGACAGTCCCCTCAGGTCCCCTGGGAAATCAGAGTGCTCTCCCGTGTGCTGCGTCCATGTGAACATGGTGGGGAGAGGGCTACACTCAACTGAACACAGAACCGCGACACAGGGTTGGACCTTCAGCCCTCCCCGGGATGGAGATGTGCAGGAGGACAGTGCTTGATTTTAAAAACTTGTGGTGAAATAGACATAATATAAAATTTGCCATTTTGACCATTTGGAGGGTGCAGTTCAGTGGCATTGAATATGCACACGCTATTGGGCAACCACTACTACCATTCACCTCCGGAACTCTTGCAAAACTGAAATGCTACACTCACTCTCCAGGACTCTTGCTTCCCCCGCTTCTCAGGCCTTTGAACCAGCCACTCTCCTTTCTTGTCTTTATAAATTTGACTACTTTTAGGACGTCAGTGAGATGAGTCACACAGTATTTGTCCTTTTGTGTGCAACTTATTTCAAGGTAGTATAATGCGTAAAGTCATCAGGGTTCATCATGTTGTGATGAACCCTGAAGTTTCTGGGTCAGAAACTTTTTCAGCAAAATAATATTCCATTGGGTTTATTATATCACATTTTAAAAAAATCTGTTTCTCCATTGATGGACACTTGGATTGCTTCTGCCAGTTATTGTGGAGAGCACTATTTTTTTTTTTTTTGGTTTGTTTGTTTTGTGATGTTGTGGCTGGAATCCAGGTGCCTGCTAGGCAGGCACTCCACCACTGAATTACATTATCAGCCTTTTCCCAATTTTATTATGATACTAAATGGCCCAGGTTGTCCTCAAACTTGTGATCCTCCTGTCTCAGCCTGCTGAGGGGCTGGGATGACAAGTGTGTGCCATTGGGTGCAGCTGAGAGTGCCGGTTTTGACTCAAGTCCAGGGTCCATTTGGATGGTGTCTGGGTGGGTCTTCCACACCTTGCCGTTTGCATGCAGCAGGGTCCTCACTATTAGATTACAGTACAGGACATTCTGAGGACTCCATGGGCTTGCTTCTTACCCAGCCCTATATATAGAGAGAATGCAGAGGACAGCTGTCTTGTGCAGGGACTCTGAGATGAGAGGTACAGGCAGGCTGTGCAGAATGGGGAGGCCGGTGTAGACTCCACTTGGGTGCACTTGGGTGCACCATCCTGGAGCCTTAGATACTGACAGAACCCTCAGCACCATCACTAATGTCCCCTTGAAGGTGTCACTGACAGGTGCAGTGATGCTGAAGGTCCTTCAGGAACTCTCTCAGTGCAGGTATGTGGGGAGGCTGGGCATCCCCCCTGAGTGCCCTTCTCTGGGATGGGATGGGGGTGAGGTATGGAGCATCTCAGAGCCTACAGAGCATCTGTTGCCATTTACTTAAGCCTCGGGAATTAAAAAAAAAAATTCTATGGGGATGGCAAAGGAAAGGCAATTAGAAGCTCCAGGAAAAGTAAAAAAAAGCTTTACAAGAACGGTAAGAAGCCTGAGATGAGGAAGCAATGGAGGGGGTGGGGGCAGAATATTCTGCGTGGCATCCAAAATAGCAGGTACTTGATTACATGTTAGATCCTGAAGACCCCCAGGTATAACCAAGGATCTACCTGCCTGAGCGGGTAGGAGAGACGTGTCCGTTCCTCCCACTACGTGGGTGCTTTTCCGCTGGAAAGCCTGAGAAACTGCGTCCAGGGCTCTGCAAACCGCGGGCGCCTATGCATGCTGGTGGCTGCCCTCTCTTGGCAAGAAGCTTTACAGCATTTTGCCGCTAGATGGCATCCATCCAACGGGAGGGGAAGTCGAGTGTGGACCTGACACCTGTTCCTTTGGGAAAAGAATGTTTTAAAGAAAAAGTTTGAAGAGGGGAGATAGGAGATTCCCACAAAGCAGGCACTTTCTTTACCAGCCGGGGACTTGGAGGATCGTCCTTACTGTGCAGTTACAGTTATAGCTTTCCAACTATAGCCAGTGTGTCTGAGCCCATCCCTTGGGGACTTTCCTCCTCCTCTGTCACTTCATCCTGCTCTCTGCTACACACAAGAGAGGACCAAATGGATTCCAGAGCTCTGTGCCATCCGAAGATGGGGCTGGGCTCTTTGTTAGGATCGAACTTTGTACTACTGAGGTTTAAAATCTTCCTATGTGGGGTTCCACAGGTTTCTGTTAAGTAGTGGTCACCTGTTTCCCCCCCCCCCCCAAGTTTCAGAATTAAGAGTGAAGTTGGCCAAGATGGGTTGACTTAAATGGAGATGAGGGAGGGAGAAAGGGAGGAAGGAAGGGAGGAAGGAAGGGAGGAAGGAAGGGAGGAAGGAAGGAAGGACAGACAACTTAATGGAAACATTTTGCTGACCCATCTGCATACCTTCCATTTGGGCCTCCTGTTTCGGAGGCTGGAAAAAGTTGGAAAGATATGCTAAGGGGGGGATGAGAAGGGCCAAGAAAATCCCCCACTTTTCTTTTGGTACTAGGGATTGAACCCAGGGGAGCTTAACCACTGAGCCACCTCCCCAGCCCTTTTTATATTTTTACTTAGAGACAGGGTCTCACTAGGTTGCTTTGGGCCTCCCTAATTTGTTGAGGCTGGCTTTGAACTTGCAATCCTCCTGCCTCAGCCTGATGAGCTGCTGGGAGAATAGGTGTGTGCCACTATGCTGGGCCCAGGTAGACCCTTTTAAAGACATGTTGAGCCTGCTAAAGAATAAGGGATCAGCCTGAGAAGGTGGGGGTGGGGAATGATACCTTCCTGAGCTAGCTGTGGTCAGGTGACTATGATCAGAAGACCTGATTCTGCCTTTTACTTGCTGTGTGGCCTTGGGCAGGCATTCTAACCTCTCTGAACCTTGTACCTATAGGTGATTCTGGTGAGGATGAATGAAATAGAATAGTGGATGAAACGTCTGCAAATGTGAATTGGGGTGAGAAGGTGCAGACGTGTTGGTTAGTAAGTGATGAGCACGCATTCCATAAAAGGATCTGCTAGGTGGGCTGAGCGACATTGTGTTCAGAAGAACAAAACGTTGTGTTCGGAACAAGTGGGCATTCAAGAGGAGTGAAGTTTGGATTGTTCCACGCCAGGCTTGGCTATTGCGTCCGACCAAAACCTGAGTCACTGATTGTGTTTTTCTTTTTTGCTTCAGTCCCTGGGTCAGGAGATGATGGATTTTGGCCTGGGTCTTGCCTGTTCTCCTGGCATAATCAGGAGCCAGAGATGGCCCTGCTTCTGAGTTGATCAAGCAAGTCCCACTTCCCTGACAAAGACACCTGTCTCCCAGGTGTCTGCAGGTCGCCCTGTCTCACCAGCTGCTCCTTGGCCACTTGAACCCCAGCCTGTCTCCTCCTGGCCCTGTGCATGGAGCAGAAGCCTCGGGGTGGAGTCCAGCGAGTGCTTGCTATTTCTTCTGGGCCTGCTGAGGAAGTTGCCCGGAGCACAGCCAACTTGGGGAAGGTCTGGGAAAAGTCTCCCTGCCTTTGGGGGCGGGGGCGCTGGAGGGGGGTGAGGAACTTGGAGATTTGGTAGATCACTCTGGATCCGTTCAGACACTCTCCGCACGCAGCGGCGGCGTGCAGAGGATTTGTGCAAACACTTCCTCTCTGGACAAGGAGGAATGCAGGAGGAGGCTGCCTGTGGTACATCTTGGACTGTTGGAGGGATGTGTCCGCACTTGTGAAAGGGTGCCAGGAGGATGAGGCCCCAGCTGAGCCGGGCAGGGCCGGGGAGAGGCAGCCCGGGGTCCTTGCCTGGGGTCCTGCCTAGGAACATCTCTGCTGCGGGGGGCACCGGCTCCCTCCTTTCCCATGGGAAACAGTTGCTCTGGGCCCCTGGGAGGCCCTTCCTCACCCTGGTGCTGCTGGTTTTCATCAAGCAAGTAAGAGAAGTTCTTTATTCTGTATTAATATGTTATTTGTGCTTATTTTGTAATTGTCAAAGTAATTTAGGTCCCTTGTACAGAATTCAGGAAACAGAAAACAGTATTAAGAAAATAATGATCATCCAGAATCCTAGCATTCAGAGATGATCACTGTTCATAGGTTGGAATCTTTTCCTTAAATCCTTTTTTCTATGCATTTTTTTCCACGCAGCTGAAATGATGGAGCATAAAATATTTCGTATCCTGGCTTTCCATTTACAACATATTACAAGCATTTCCCCATGTTGCATAAAGTCTGCGACCAGCATTGGAAATTGCTGCCTATATCCTCATTGATTTTATTAGCACTCTCCGTGTTTATATCGAATGGATGGTTTTTCTATTCTTTTCTTTTTTCTTTTCTTTCCCCCTTCCTCCTTCCTTTCCTTTCTTGCTCTCATTCTGTTTATAAAATATAGAATGTGAAAATATAAAAATATAGAATGTTAAAAAAAAAAAGACCTAAGCTCTCTAGTATATAAACTACAAATCACTGAAATTCCACCAGCCAGAGATCACCCTTGTTTACATTTGGGAAACTTATCCTGCCGGATATTTTTCTGCCATTCATTTATATACGATTTAGAACAGTAAACATAGGCTCCTACTATAAGTATTATTTTGTAATCTGTTTTTAATAACAAACAGCACGAATAATATGAATACACAGATACATAACTGGCATCAGGTCCTGTGCCAGGCACACAACCCCTTATCTCATTTCATGTTCTCAGCAACACGGAGAGTGGAGTGCTCTTGTGAATCGCATTTTAAAGATGTTGGGAAATGGAATCCTGGGAGATGAAGCAACATCACCTGTCAATAAAGGTAGATCCCCGGCAGGAGAGTCGCAGGCTTTCAGGATCTATTGTGATGTCCGCAACTGCCCTCTGTGTTTGGGTTTTCTGGTAGCTTGACTTCTTCTTGCCTGGGGAGATTAGACTTTTGCCCCTTGGCTTTCCAAGGTACCCCCCCCTTTTTTTTTAAATACCAGACTATGATGGGAAGAAACTCCCAATTCCACAGTAAGAAAGCAG